ATCAATAAAAGAGATTCATTTCTAAAGAATTATTCTACTAGTCACTTTTATGTTTCACTTTTTAGACGTAATACTTCGTTTCATACAGCGCGTAGAGAAAATCAAACCTATTGTTGAGGAGATATTGGGAGCTGAAGTAGAAGAGCGTGAGCTGCGATTGGCAGCCTCTCAGATTGCAAATGCAGAGAAAATGTTATCTGGGGGACCGGAAAAGTGTTTGGGAACGACGCCCCATCGGCCACCTCGCAAGAACTGGTTCACTCAGCAGAAACTTGAGCGGAAAGCAAAACGAAAAGGTTGGTCCTATCCATTTAGAAGTAATGCTCAAAATATACTACATTCGCTAATTATAAAAGTATCTGCAGACAAATGTCGACACGAAAAATAATGCCACGTGTTATACAAACAATTTTTCCCAATTCTTTGGTATACACGCTGAGTAGGTCGAAGACAAAATCATATTTCCTAGGTCCTAGGGATTGCTTATCCACGTCATTTTGTACAACATAGGTCTCCTAACGATCAAAGAATATCTGCGATAAGTAATTTATACTACCCTTATACTAAGCAGACTATTTAAGTTAAATGAAAAATTTAACTATGTACAAGCAATTTATTTGAATACAAGTAGGATCATTTGCGCAGGTCGACTTTCCATAGGGTTAGATGTTGGGCTCCAGAACGGTTTAAGCCTAATAGTGAACCTGTCTTCGATCATCGGTTTTTACCCATTTATCAAAGGGCGATTCAGTAATAAGGCTAGCTTGATCGCGAACGGATTGTGGTTCGTTTTTCCAGCCTCATCGCTATTTTCCACTTTTATAGCCTAGATCCAAATGGGCTTCTGACAATATTTTATTGCAAATCATAGTCATTCTAGGTCATATAAAGTGGTTAAGGATCGATATTTGAATTTACCCACAATAGTATAACTGTACTGCAGTTTTGACTTTGCCTGTGTTTCACGCCACCGGGAATCAAATCTGCATCGTGCGCATAAAATGTTTGACAGATTATCGTTAGCGTGTTCCAGAATAACTGTTATTTCGGAGAGGCCTCTTTTGCCTTCTCTTCCCGGTGATCCACTGATACCCGCGGCGATTTTGCGTGTTAGTAAACATATCGGAATATATGCTGTTTCGACTCCCCTGAATGATATCCAGGCGAGATCGAAATTACAATCAACCTTGAAGGAGAATACCCTTTGGGAGCCATGGCTAAAAGAATTTCGATGGCATCGTGAAGCCTAGTGATATCATTGTTAAAAAAGTCATCCACCAGTCTTTCATCATTCCATGAAACTTATGGTGGTTACCACTCGTATCCAGGATTATTCATGATCGCGTAACATACTATATATAAATATTTTAATAAACGACATGAAGCTATAGTGACCCAGCCCTACTCCCAAACTGGTTTGGTCTTGCTAAGCGACGCCGGACCCCTTTCAATCTATCCCGCTTACCTTGACTTCGTTTAACAATTTACTACACCTTATCAATGTTGAAATTTTGATAGCTGGTTTGTTCAAAGTTCGTTTATTCGATCTCCATTTATAGCTTTTCGGTTGCCCTTTCTATACACTTACCTAGTTTAGCATGACCTACTGAATCTAGTATTGTTCTCTCAAATCCCTTGTGTAGCTAAATCTCTAATTTCGCCCAGTGAGTAGATAATTGTAAGTGTAGGCTTAACTCACTGTCTCTTCAATCGGAGATCACGAGAGATGTATTTTAAGTGATTAAAGCATCTACTGACTGCCACTTCAACCCTCGTGAAGACCTTCAATATGTACGCCCTAGCTCTATAACTTCACAGGAGCATTCCACTCATCGCTTATGGCCAATTCCTCAGTGGCGTACTTGTCTTTGCTCAACCTGCAATTTTATTTGTGCTCGTTACCTGACTGTAAAATACAGGAGATCCGACCTTGTTGTGAGGACGGCAGTCACGTCTTAGTCGGCGTTGTCATCAGCAGAGTATCCGATTTCAGCCGATCCAATCGGAGGCAATTCCTGATAGAGATCCAAATCGCCTTAAGAGCTACCATAATAAATCGCCATAATTTGTTATGGCAGGATGGAGGTGATCGTGTACAAGGGCCGTTCTTACATTTGAAAAAAGTGAAAAAACAACAATTGGTACGGATCCTGAAGCGTTTTTAAGCCATTAAGCTGCGCTTAAAAGATAAAGCATTATCCTCCAAGCCTACTTCTAGGCCACACTTGTCCCTAGTGAATCGCTATCCCAACTTTAATGGTGCCGAAGGCTCACATGCCTGTTAAGTCGTGCGTGTAGCATAGCGATCAAAACAAGTTTTGCATCTGGCAGATTATCGTGATCATATCAAGGGCCAATCTAATTCATCCTCTCTTCTTTTATGACAAGAGATTCAATCGAAAATGTCGAGGTTAATTTCTTACTTCATTAAATCGTAACATAAAACGGTGATCAAAATTCCTCGAATTAGAAAAACTTCTTAGATAAATTTATATCGTAGCCGATCCAC